TGTGTGTGTGTGTGTGTGTGTGTGTGTGTGTGTGTGTGTGTGTGTGTAAGTCTATTTTATAAAAAAAAGATGTTCAGAAAGATATGGCCTTTCTTTTGAGAAAGATAACTAATTTCTTTCTATTCTCTTGAAGAAGAAATACCTCTATATTTTTCAAATTACACCTAAACTAGAGGACACTTTGACCCATGCTCTGTTCTCTCTTTTCAAATACAAATCATATACCATAATTATAAAAACACAAAGAGTATGCTGGTATATCCATGACAGCCAAACGTGTGCTTATCTGTGGACTCAATTGTACTGCCACATAATAGTAGATGCAGTTCTTACTCTAAAGTCATGCGTGAGATGACATCAAATGTAGTCAGGCCAGCTTGGTCAAAGTTGTCCTTGTAACGTCCCATCTTTATGGCATCCAGCCATTCGTGGGCATTGGAGAGTGAAGGGAAGTCTGGGGGTGAGTTGCTCAGTAAATGTTGGGACGGTCTATAAAGAAGAAGAGAAGAGGGACACTTCAAGAGCACAAGGACATACTCCGATATTCAAAATGCTGCAGGAAAAGTGGTGAAGCATGTGACTTTTGAAAGACACTCTAGGGAATTGCTGCCAACCCCAGTTCTGCCAGATACATCTGCCAAGTAATCTTGAGGTCTTAGATGGGTTTTATTTGTGCTTTCCACTGGTGCACCTGATACCTGAAGAGGTTTTCAATGGAATTTAAACCATGTTGCTAAAGAAGGCTCCTGTTATTCCTCTTCTAAAATACTACATGTTTTGCTTTTCTTACTCTCAGTTTTGGACAGAAATAAAGGCACCTTTATGCATTGAAAGTTTTAAAAAAAACCAACTATGTACAACTAAGGACTCCTCTCTTCTTTCCCGGCTCTGGATGAAAGTCTGTAATACCCATGGGAAAATGTCTCCATGCCAACAGGATGGACTTCCTTCCTCACTTCTGAATTCATCTAATCTTGGCTGCATCTTTCCCCCAGGGAACTCCTCTTTGTTGACCCCAAGTTTTTAGTTGTATAAAGCTGAGAAAAACACATGGGAACATAGGAATTTCTATGTCTTATTATCAGCTTGTGTTGAGAAGGTTCCACCATCACCTTATCATCACTAGAGGCAGAACTTTCTTTACCAATTTCATGTTTTCACCTTTGCTCATTAGATACCATGATCATTTCCAAGACCCACACCTTGCTCAATCCACACGCCATTGCCTTCAAGAATTTTCCTAATTTAACTGGTCACCAGACAGCTGTTCACTTAATAATCTGAAATCTGAATAATCTGAAATCAAGCACTCTATTAATAGGCTGAGAGTAGAATATGAGCCACAATACTCTTGTTTCCCCCTTATCTCACCTCTTATGAAAACTCTTCCATTTGAGACTCACTCTTCTTAGCAATTAAGAAAAATAATTTTAATTTACTTTCATTATGTGTTGTAGGATAATGTTAGAGCCATGCAAAACATAGCACTTTCTCTCCCTCCCTCTCCCTCTCTCTGCTCTCCAGCTGCTTACAGTCCTCAAAACCTTTATTTTGTGGCCTCCAACACACTTCAACAGTTGCTCAAAACTCGTAACAGTATTTCCTGATGATTTGTAGTGGGGACTATACATAAATTGCAGTGTAAGAACTATCCAGAATAGCTTAGATTTCCAAACTCTTTCCAAAATCCAAGGAATTCTCCTCTTTCCCAAGGAAATCCTGGTCATGTCCACATGATCAACTCATCACCACCAATACAACAAAACATTTCCCATCCTGACAAATACATTTACTCCTGCCTTTACTGGCCGTTTGCTATTGGTGTCCACGCATTTGATTCCCTTCACTAATTTTACCCATTGCAAAGTATTTAAATACAGGGTTCTATGTAATAAGAGTTTGCATACTTCGTGTTGACTCTATATGTATCACTGGTATTAAGAGCTTTTTGATTATTGTTTTCTTTGTCCAGAGGAAGTATCAGATTCCAAATTAATAACTAGAAGGTATGCTTGATTTCTAAACTTCAAAACACAGCTCTTCCATCATCCCCTCCAATTTGTGGATTACACACTTCCCTTTCTACCTGCTATTTCCTGTGCCCGTCGCTTTGAGAGCAGATGGTTTGCGAATCATCTTGTCCAGGGCATTGACTATCTGTTCAAATTTGGGCCTCTGGACCCGTTCTTTCTGCCAACAATCTAACATCAGCAGGTGCAAAACAGTAGGGCAGTCTGGAGGTGGTGGAAGACGATAATCCTGGTCGATAGCATTGATTACCTACAACAAAGGAAGAAAAGCATAAGGACATGCTCCCAGTAGCATATACATGAATGCTATCCAAAAAGTAAATATCCAGTTCAAAGCATGAGCTTTTAGTGTTTGGGCCACATTAAAACTTACATCCTGATTGGACATGTCCCAGTAGGGCCTCTCTCCATAGGACATGACTTCCCACATTACAATGCCATAGCTCCAGACATCACTTGAGGATGTAAATTTACGGTACTGGATAGCCTCTGGAGCTGTCCAACGAATGGGAATCTTGCCACCCTATAATTTTAAAAGGAATAGAAGAGCAGTATGCATCAAACAACTCTCAATTCAAGACAAGTCCACTGGTATCAAGTCAGTTCTTAGATTTAAAAAGTAAGCTAATAGTTTTAGAAAGACAGAAATAGATTCCTACTGATTTTAGTAGTAGAACTAAAATTCCTACAGAGTGCATTTCAAAACAATGGCAGTTTCATTATATAAAACTTGTGACAATCAAAAGAAAAGCTGTCTTGAATTTTTATAAAAATAACAAAGGTATAAATTTAAAAAGTAAATACCGTTAAAATGTACCTAATTCCTCAATATAAAGAGAAATAGACCATATTTTTTCACTTTATTTAGATGACTGATAACTTTTGCAGATAGACTCAACGATGTCCCAGAACCATGAGAAGGGTGGCAAATAAATTTAATAAATAAAAATAAAACAATACTGAAATATAGCACAATGCAAACGCAGAATCCTGCCTGATTATTACAGATTCATGAAAAAGTATTTTCTTGTATAAAAACTTACCAAGGCCCCAGTGTAGGTTGGGTTTGAAGCATCATCTTCTAAGAATCTTGACAAGCCAAAATCGGACACTTTGCAAACCAAGTTGCTGTTGACCAGGATATTGCGGGCAGCCAAATCCCGGTGAACATAATTCATATCTGAAAGATAACGCATGCCGGCTGCTATGCCTCGCAGCATGCCAACTAGCTGCAACATACTGAACTGACCTTCCTTTTGCTGTAAGTTACAAAGAAAAAGAAAACCTTCTATGACACATTACTATGTAAATGTTTTCTAATTTCTCACCTGCCTCAGTAGTGTGACAATCCCAATGCAGACTGAAGAAGATTATAGCAAATAATTACAGCTTGGTGCAAGATTCAGTTGCACCTGACATGTGTGATAGGAAAAGACTCAAGAAGCTATTAGCTTTTCTGAATTTACCATTTCCAATCTAGTTCTTTCTAAAGTGCAATATTTGTGCTTGACTTTTGCAGGTAGAGCTTCTTGTTTTTCCTCTATTAAAAAAAAATAGCACCATCTCAGTGCAGCTTTAATTCAATCCTAGTCTCTGTCTGATGGGCTTTCTGTTTGGAAAGAGTATTTTGGGATCAATCTCTAGAGTGTGACAGCTCAAAACCAGACATACCAACTTCAGTGGAAATTGGATAAAGATGCTAGAAGTTTAAAAAAGATTAGCAAATAAATACAACAATACGGAAGTTTCAGGAATCTTAAAGAGCTGGAGATACTAAGAGATTATATTACACAATATATATTGAAAGCAGTGAAAAGATAAGCAGTTTATAGACTTTACAGAGGTGTTGTCTGAACAGATAAAAACCTGGTGCGTTTAGCAATGTTGTCAAATTAAACGTACTGTAAGTAATTAATATCTTCAATAAAAAGGGGGCCACTCAAAAGGAAATCACCCATGAGTCTAAGAATTTCTATCCCCAAGTAAATACAAGGGCTTTATATGCTTTGCAAATATATTTCAAAGGTAATTGAAATCTTGGAGGAACACTGCATTTCAATAACACCAGCATCACATTGGATGTATAAGGCCACCAAAATAAATGACTCCAGGCAGCGCCGAGTATTAAAGCATCATTAAAAAATCGAAATACAAATCTATACAATTCAACCAAACCTCCTGCTGTGGTAAAACATGCATTAACATTAATGAGTAGATTCCTTCAAGCCATTGCATTTTTTTTTTAGGCTTGCGCAGAAAAAAGAATTTGGCTGATTCAATTAGTAGCAAAGAAGAGATGTGTTTGAGCAAGATCCAAAGCACTTTACCAACTCCAGTTTGATGTTACTTCTGAAACCAATATCCATATTTAAAACATGGTTTCTAAATGTTTTGGAAAAAAGTTATTGAAGAAAAACGATGAGAGATGCCACCCACATCTCACTGACCACCATGGGTGGAATGAACCAAGAGGACTTTGGGAACAGCAGTATTTGAATTTCTTTCCTTCCTACCTCTGGCCTGATTTTCTCACTCCCTCTATTAGGGGCTTCTATCCTGCTATTATATTTCCTACATTAAAAGCTGCAAAGCACATTTGGAAGGTGCTGAGGTAGTTGTATAATTTTTGACCCTTATTTACATGAGAAACTGATGCACCAAGAAAATCCTAGTTTGAAAAAGGCAGAGGACTTTAAAAAAACACAGGCAATAGGAATATAAATATTCTGGATCCTTTTATTGTCAATTGGATTTTTAAATCATAAGTAATTGCAAAAGTAATTTGGATTGCCTAAATTGGCAGAATAGAAGTATATTCAATTAAAACATCTCTTCATGTGGCAATCTGATTCAGGTACATTAGCAGCTTCTAAAACACATGAATTAATATGGAATTTTGAAACCTGCTTCCACACCATTAAAAAAAAAACCCTCACATTCTTGTTTTCACAACTCACTGATAAACACAATCTACGCTGGCCTTCATGGGAAGGAGACCAAAATAGTCACTAGTAGAACTAGATTTCTAATCTTACAAGAACAGAAGATCTTCAGGCTATAAAATTTATTTTGGAAACTTGGAGTATTATTGAGATCTGATATAAGTGGTAGTAGGCCCAGTGAGATCAATAAAATAAAGGACATTTGGTTACCATTTGAAATAATTGGGGCAAACAATAACAAGGATATATAATGTTTGAATAGAGTTTACTGCTTCTCTGAATCTTTCAGTTAAGAAAGAATTAACAGAAGCTGGTGGTTCATACAGATAAGGATCAACAAGAGTACACTGAAAATAGTCTAGTGGTGAATTTAATATAAAATACATTTATACTTCTAAAACATGTTAGAATTTGGGAATATTAATAAATTTTAAGAAAATATGTGTATCATAATACTCAAACTTAAATGATATTGTAAAAACTGTAGTGTGTAGTATGAGATGTGGAGATTCTTTAGTGACATGCAAAAAAGGATAACAACAAAGATAATAGATACTAATATGCTTTTTGGTTTGGATCTGAAGAAAACTGCTCATTCTGTAGTGCCTTTTACGTTGATGGAACAAATTTAGCCATAACTAACTTGATATCTGTTACTGTGTGCGCACACATATCTTTATATGCTTGATCCCAAGAGGAAAACATTTATTTTGATCTTGTTGTGGCAACTATATCAAGGAGAACAAAACACTTAAGCAATAATAAGTATCCACTGCTGGATGAATGTCTAAGAAACATTTGGGATAATTTATTATGATAAAAAACCAATTTGTAAGATTAGAGTATGATTAGGGATGCATATAATCATCTTAATTTATTCTGTTTTGAAACTGCAGATAAACAACAAATTATTATGTTATTCATTGTCTATGATTTTGATAAGTTTGTTTTGTATAATTCTTAATTAATTTAATAAGGCAACACATTATAGATGCCTACTATGTATTGTTGAATAGTTAATATTGTAAGACACTGGCTTCATCTTTCACTACATCTGGAAATCTTATTCAACAATTCCTTTGACTTCGGAGTTTTTGTTAGTGATCCTACCAATATTAAAGTATATTTTAAAACTATAAAAATGCCACAACAGATGCAAGCATAGAAAACTGAGTTCAGTTTCTTTAGAAGCATGCATTCATTTTTAAATGAATACATTCACCAGAATATATAGAAGATTATATCTTCTGTGCTTGCAAATGAACTCCAGAGTACAAGTCTGTATACACATCACACCATCCCTTTTCAGAGTAAGCAATATTATGCAAAGTGCAGAAAAGGAGTAAGAAGAATAAGTCAAAGAAATTAAATCCATTGAACAAGGAAGGAAAGAAAAATAAGCTAAATCTAGCTTATAATAAAATCATTCATGCACTATATTTCTCCATATCATGCCAACCATGATTGCTTTTACAGCAGTGAATCATTGCTTTTTATATTGCCTGTTGTATTTTAAAATTCTTGCCTCTTTCTTTGGGCTGACTGCAGTACTCCATCCGGTCATGGTTTCTCGTTCTGCCTCTTGACAGTCTTCCTCATTCATTTGATCCTCATTCATTCTCATCATACAAACACACTTACACACTTATTTCATGTTTGTCACTTGCTTTTGTATTCAATCCATGTGCATTTCAGCTCCTGTTCGCTCTAGTCCCTAAGAATATCCCCACTGTATTCAAGTTAGTTTTATTGTCTTCTGACATTACCAACTCTCACTCTCATATAACAAGAAGGAGCATATTTTTTCCATAATTATTTTTACTTTTGGAAATAAACATTCCTTCCAATATCCAGTCTACTCCCCATTGTCTTTCTTCAAATTTCTCCTTTCAATTCCCCATATTTAGTAAGTACTACCTTACTAAGGTATATTAGGCAATATTTATATACAGAAATTCATCTCCTTCTTCTAGGTTTTTTCCATTTATGTATAACCCAAAACTTTCCATCCTTCCTTGTCAGACACAATTACTTCAGTTTGCAGTACATGATAGCACAAGATGAGACTCTTAACATTTACAGCAAATAATTTTATCTTATTATAACATAGTATAAATATAACCCAACATAAATTTCGTACAAAAGCCTGTAAGTGTTTACATCCTCAACCAACACCACTCCAATCCAATCCCTCCATAAACATTCATTATATGTATAACCATTAATACATTACACAAAGATGGAAACATGGACATTTTTTGTTTTATTCCCTGCTTAGTGCTGAACCATTTGCAAGCCTAACATTTATTCTTATACATGCTCCCAAGGTCAGTATGTAATGCTTCCATTATATACTTCCCTTATTATATTCAGCAACCAACCTTCAACTCCAGCCTCACATAAATGTCTCAAAAATTCTCTTTGTTATCAAATGTAAACATTTTCACATTCATATATTTCTCAATGACTTGCTGAAGAGAAAATATCTGGTCTCTCTTCCAAACCTAAGGTTGCAAATTTTACCTCTCCTATAACCGTTCATTAGAATTCTGCCAAAACCTTGACAGGCATATTTAACAACTGAAAGCCAGTATAATTTGTACACTCACTCTTGTTTCCATTCCCTTCACAGAAAGGACTTATACCAGCACTCTTCCAAATGTCAAGTAGAGATGCAGCCTTCACATCTGCTTTACACAAATCATTCAGCCACTTCACAAGCAAATCACATCTAAATTTTAACATTTCTCCAGGTAAACTATCTACAATTTTGTAGCATTACCATTTTTCAACTGTCTTACAGCATTATTTATTTTAAATTGAATTAAATTAAAATATTTATAGCATTTAATTCCACTTTTGAAATATAATTGTTATTTTTATAAATTCCCAATCCTATAGATGCCCTTCCCCCATTAACACATGCCTAAACACATATTTCAAATAAAGAGGACTTTTTCTAAGCAGATTCTCAACTTTTTGTTTTATTTTATGTCTCTGTCTTGAGTCTCTTTGAATCCAGCCTCTTTTCTGTATTGCACTGTAATTTCTGCCCTTATCATATTCTTTCAAGCACATTGAACCATTTCCCCACAAACCAATCTGATTCTTCCAAGCACTGCGGTATACCATAGCACTGTTATTAACCTACGAATTCCTGTTTCCATACACCCACCACAGCCTAGAAGGCACCAATGCTCTGCTCTTCTATAAAAATAGGTCCCCTTTGTTCAATTATAGCTATTGATTGGTTGAGAAATATCTCTTGGTTATGACTGAATCACATTCCTTCAACTGATATATCCTACTTCTCTCCGGGGAAGGGCTTGTTAACATCCAGTAGCACAGGTTGTATTTTGTATGCTTCATGTTTTACTGATTTGTCATTTCTTTGTTTAAATTGTTGTGAGCCGCCCAGGGCCACTGAATGCTGGGCAGCATACAAGTTGGTTGCACAGTCAGCCACATATTTAGACTGGATTTGTCATTTTTGACTACCAATTAAATCTTTCTGAAGGATCTGGGATAGGCAGATATTGTTGTTTTGATGGTGTAAAGGTATCATTGCAGGATGTAAGCTGTTCCAGGCAAAGCTACCTTTTGTGATTGACTGATAATGATTTTGTCAATACCAATGGTATTCAAGTGGTACTCCAGATGTTTTGAAATTGCACCCAAGATGCCTAATAGTATTGGTACCATCTTTGCTTTATCTTGCTACTGTCATTCAACTTTTATTTGGAGGTCTTTGTATTTTGTGATTTTTCTCCAGTCCTTTTTATTCTATTAGTTCTCTCCAGGTATTACAATGCAAGAACTAGTAGGATGACAAAATGAAGAAGCTAAAGTGCTCTGGGATTTTAACATTCAAACAGACAAGCATCTGCTAAAAGTTTCTGTTTTAGAATCTACTGATATGGTGAAAAGTATATTCAACACAGCATTACTAGTATCCATAAGAGTTATTATGGAGTCAGGTGCCTTCTAAATTTAAGAAAGGGAAAAGAAAATGAAAGGAGGCCTGTATATAATTCCTGAATGGTTCTCTCTCCATAGTCATATAAGAGTCCATGTTGGGCTACAAGGAGTTATATCTAACCTTGATCTCTTGGACAAACTACCAGAGACCTTATCTTGAGGGAAGTTAAATGATCATTCTATTTTATGAAAGATAAATCTTGGGACTAAATTACCGAAATACTCTTTTTGTGTTTTATTGGGCTGTTTGATTTCCTTTTCTTTTCCCCACTAGCAATATCTTTTGTTAGTGTCACTGACTTTCAACTGTAAAATTCTTACTGGTGGCACCATATTATATGGCTTGTTACATCATAGTTACTGAGAAATGGTTCTCTCCTCCCTCCCAATTCCTGACTTCTAAAAGGGCTCGGTGTTATGTTTGCAATATCTGTTAAAGACAAACTTTTTTTTTGCTCAGACCTCCCTCTTCCCCCATATCAGGGGTTTTATTGTTTTATTAAAATTTATTATAGAGATGCATGCCGCTGTATTATTTTACTGAAATCGTTTCCCTATATCTTGTATTTTATGTTATTCTATTTAGTATACTGCTTGGGCATGACTTTAATGATGCATTCCTTACAAATGCTCAGAAGTAACTAAAACAAGTAAATAATAATAAATATAGTAGATGTAAAATGAGTCGGAGGAAGTGAAGCAGGCAAGGAAAGGGAGGAGCTGAGATGGTCATACCCGGAGGAAGGAATCCAGAGAGCCATTCTCCATGAACTCGGTGACAATCATGACGGGGCGGCTCTTGGTGACCACACCTTCCAGGCGGATAACATTTGGGTGCTCAAATTGTCCCATGATGCTGGCCTCGCTTAGGAACTCCCGCCGCTGCTCATCGGTGTAGCCGGCCTTCAGGGTTTTAATAGCCACCATGTATTCACGCTTCCCTGGTGGCTTCAGGCGGCCAAAACACACCTCTCCAAATTCTCCTGCCAGGAGTAAGGGATGGAAAAGACAACACATCAGCCAGAGGAGGAACTGGCGCGTCCATAATTTAAATGCAGAGGGAGGTAAGACTATGGGCCTTGCTGCTTTGTGAACCAAACACTTCATCACTTTCTGGAGTTTGTTTCATTGGTAAGGTTACTATAGTACCCAAGTTCAAACCAGGCAATACAATTCCCCCTTTTATCTTTGAAACAGATTTTGACAAACTCCAACGTCTTGAACTTCGGCACAGATTGAGGTTCAGTCTTCCAAGTCTCAGCTGAACAATCTAAATATTTTCACAACTGATACAGTCATTGGTTTGCTCTATCTGAGAAAGCTTTTTTTAAATCAAACTTGACAACTTTAAGATGGGTGGACTTCAACTCCCAGAATTCCCCTACCAGCATGGCTGAGAGTTAAAGTCCATCTATCTTAAAGCTGACAAGTTTGAAAAACACCAATCTAAGAATTCAAGCAGCAATTTGCCTGAAAAACCCAGAATCAAACAAACATATACACACAAAAAACCCCAAAGCTCTAAAGCTTTTTCTTGAAGAAAAGAGAAGCTATAGTAGATTAGCAGCCTTCTGCCATTCAGGAGAATATCAGAATAAAAGAGAAGAGCTCAGTCTTGAGGTTAATTTTTTTATTTATTTATTTTATTTATATGCTGTCTTTATTGTTTTTACAAATAATTCAAGACAGCAAACATATCCAATACACCTTCCTTCTACTGTTTTCCGCAAAACAACAACCTTGTGAGGTGAGATGAGATGAGAGTGACTGGTCCAAGGTTGCCTAGCTGTCTTTCATGGCTAAGGCGAGACTTGAACTCTCCTGCTTTCTATTCTGGTGCCCTAAACCGCTAGACCAAAGTAGCCAAAAAGAGTACCAGACCTTTACAGGGAGTCATTTCTTACCCCTGTATAATACAGCTTACTTTTTTCTTCCTGCAATTGGCTCTGTCCTTTGTAATTCTGGTAACTGTATATATTTTGCATTGGCGTGTGATTACATCATGAGGAAATGATTCCCATCCTATTTCGGCAGCAGATGTGAACTGAATAAAATTCTGCCCCTTCTTAAATAATGGGCAAGAGCTGGAGGGAAAGAATAGCTGTATCCCCTCATTGTGGCACATTTCTAGGGATGTGCAGAGCTTCAGATCTAAAGGGAAAAAATGCTACATTGGGGGTGGGGCAATCCCAGGAAAATATGCAGTTAAATTAACAAGCTCTCAGCAGGGTGCAACAAGGGCTTTGAAGCCAGCATGAAAGAGCTGTCAATGCCTCCTTACCTCAAAGATATATTTTCTTGAGATATATGTGAGCTGAGGAAAAGACACATTTTTATAATAGTTTTATTAAAGATTACAGGTACAACAGTAAAAACTAATACAAACTGGAAAAGCAGAAGAATAAAAAGGAGTAGAAGAGGCAGAAAAGAAAGGAAAAAAAGGGAAAATATAAAGAGAAATGGACAGGAAAGAAAAACTAGAATACAGTAAAGAAAGAAATGGTCATCCAAAAATATGCATCTTTTTAAGAAGGCATCACAACCATAAACAACCCATCAACTTTGAAGCATCTTTTCTGTTTTGGATCTGAAGCACAGCACATTGTTACACACTACTTTTCTTAGAATGTACCCATTTTTAATTTCTCCAACACCTAAGATGAAGCCTGCATGGTGAAGATGTTGTAATGCCACTTGAGTGAAGTTCTATTAGACATTAAAAAAAAAAACTTTGGCAAAAACAGATAAATGGGAGGAACACCTGACAATTAGGTGGACCCTTATCAACATCAGTAAGTTGCAACCCAACCAAAAAGAGCAGGATTAAACTGCAGGGTCACAGTGAAAGATCTGAGGCTCCAAGTGAGAACAAGTGTGCTGAAAAATAGGGGTTTAAGGAGCAAATAAGATAGCAGAGATTAAATGAGAAAATATTACTTCATTACCTGATCCAATAACTTCCTCTATCTTGACAAAAGATACATCAATTTCCTTGGCAAATTCCCGAATGGCTTCATTGGGGTCTTCATAGGTAGAAGGGTCAATGTAATATTTGACCCCAAGGCCTGCGAGGGAGACCACAGACTCCAGAGTCAGTAATGAGCTTGAGAGAAGAGGCAGCTAAAGAAAGAGGAGATTCTCAACCACCTACCCCGAGTGCTTATGTACTGTTGCAGGCGATCTGTGTATGGAGTTTCTCGTCTCTTACTGTGGAAGAAGAAAACATAGAAGGAAAACTAAGATAGGGTGACCTTCTTAGATGCATCAGGTCCAAAGGAGCTATGAAAAAGGGGCAGGTAAAAGCAGTCAAAATTATGTTGGATGTTGGAAAAATAATCATATTACATGAAGATGGAAGAAGATCATGGATATCCAATCATTCTATATCTGCTCATAAGTTATGCATAGGTCATATTAAGTATAACATCTTTCAGTATAAAAGAGTCAGAAGGAATGTAGAATGTAGAAAATTAATCATGGTGAGGATAGAGTAGAAAGAGAAAAGATTGATCTCTTTTTTATGATAGCTAAATCTGAACTTCAACTCACCGATTGTAGGATACACAAATAAAATACTTCACAAAAGGGCCAATAAAATATCAGCATAATACTTTTTCAGCTTTAGCAGAAAGTTGCACTAAATGACCATTTGATCATCCAGTGCTGTGACCATAAAATATGCCATTGATTTAGGGGAGCATCGTTGGAAATTGTAATACTGGAACTAATAAGTCACATATTTCTTTATTTAATGTTCTTTGAATTTTTATTGAAAAGCAGTTTTTAATAAAATCCTAAAACAATTTTTAATAAGGATGGAGGAAGTAGAGAGGAACAATAAATAAAAGTATGTAGTACAAACTTAACATTGGCCAGTCTGACCTGGCAGAGCTCTTAGGATATTCTTAAATACTGAATGGACACTTACACAGTGACACTGTATAGTGACAATGACACTGGCAATTCTATTAGGAATTTATATGATAATCAGATGTAAGATAGGCTCAATTTTTACTATTTGTCTTGATGCAAGAAACACATATCCATTTATAAAGACAATTTATGTCCATGTTCCAAGTAAGATGCTATAAAGGGGAGCCCATGACTATTCTTTCGGTGACAAGAGTTCATGATATATCTCTAACAGTTGCATTTTGAACAAGATTTTCAATGTATTGGGCAGAGTACCAAGTCAGGATATGAAATGGAGTTGATTGGAACTCCTGTGTACTTTAATAGCCTTTAGATTAGATGAATAATTATATCTAGCTTTGAGATTTGGCGGTTAAACAAAAAATAGTAACAAATTTCAATTGAAGTCGGAATTGGAACTAAAGACTCAAAGACTCTACTTTCAAATAGCTTGTTTATTTGCTATTTTAAAGAAGTTTTAAACTGATCTATAACAGAGATGGGGATTTGTATTTATTTATTTGGCCTAGGGGGAAATTCTTGGGGGAATCTTTTGGGGAAACTTGCTAATAGTGGGTAGGCCTGAAACAGGAAGTAATTGGGGAACCCATTATTTTTCTGATACTCTGTTTATTCTCTTTCCGATAACTTTTTCTGTCTCACCAAAGGTGAGATAACTCTTACCAGAAGTCTAAACTGATTACTTGCAAGGGCTGTTGTCTGCCTGTGAATTATAATGCAGATGTTTCTTCTTCAGGCTTGGAGTCACATGACTGGTGATATCATGATGTCACAAAGTGTGTGGAGTTGGACAAACGTACATTATCAACGTGTGGGTCTGCGGGTTATAGTAGCAATGAGTGTTGCACAGGCTTATCCATTTATTCTTTTATCCCCAACATAGAAAAATGTAGCTCATTTGGAGGGAAGGGTAGAGTGTTCTGGATGCTTTAAACCTCAGCAAAGCTTAATAAATCATTTCCATTATTTCACATTCACCTTCCCCCCCAAAAAAACATTAAACAAAGGTTTAAAGGTTTGTGCCATGAGTATTGTGGAACTGCAAGTGGGTTGCCAAAAGCAGCCTACAGATTGTCTACCCCTTGTTTACAGTTTTCCAAACATATTAGTAGAAAGAGTATGTCTACAATTGAGGACATATTGACCAAAGGTTTTCTTCTATACCTGTAATCCTAACTCTATCACATTTCTCCAGTTATCTCAAGGTCTGAATATGAGGTCAAAAGGGGACGGTATGCCCGTCTTCCCCACAAATACTATATCTGGTTTCCAGCTATCATTCTTGTATAATATGTAAGTTGCAGGTGTAATATGAGGGAAAAAAAATAGCAGACTGTCTTCTCCCAGTAGAAGTCTAGGACATAATAGGATTCCTGTTTGAAAGCAGCTTTCCAAAATCATGCAAAACCTTACCTGGGAGTAGTTTTGTGTTGAATCAACAATATCTTTACGAGGGTGAAAGCAGAGTACCCACCTTTTAAAGACAATGGCCAGGATGGCAATGGCAGCAATTACCATGAAGGCCAATCCACCCAATGCTGAGCCTACAATAAGTGGCAATCGATCCTGCACCATCTCAGAGCGCTCACCTGTCAAAGAGGGAAGGCAGTCTGTTAGCTTCTTATATATAGTCTTTATTGTTATGAAACCCTCTAATACAGTCTCAACATTTGAACACACTCTTCCAGAATGTTGTTAAGAGCTCTGCAATCTCAGCCACCAACATTCAGAAAGGCCCTCTTTCCCCTGCCTGTAGCATCCGAGTCTGTAGAACATACAAGGGTCATAGTTATGCTGACCCCATCCGGTCCCCTTTCCATGTTAAGTTTTTCTCTAAGCAACGCATAGATGTGGGTCAGTCGATTTAACTCCAAACCTTCATGCATTTTTACTTTATCATCTAGCAAAATATAAGAAACCTTTCAAATCTCTCAGCCCTTCTTTCAATCTCTAACACACATACCGCTGTATTATGCCACTTTATTTCATTCATTTTTAAAATAAAATAAAAATCAGGCCTTTTGATTGTCAATTTTGCGAAAGCTCTTCCTTTCTTTCTTCAAAAATACTTCTACACAGCTCCTGCAATTGATTTTATCTCTCGGGCTAAATACATATGCAATTCACATGGTCACAGTTGACCAAATAGTTCATCTGCAAAAGTCACATTGAAATCATGAAGCTTGTTCAGGATAATTCCTTATTACATTTTGTCTGAAATGCCTAAGTGTCTCCGCATACGGAAATGATGCAATACTTGAAAATACACAAGCAGATGGGGACTCAAGGTGTACGCTAGCCTGTTAGGTATGTGAAGGCCTATAAAAAGTTTATGAGGCACAAGCAAGAGAGCAATAAAAAGAGAAAATTGTTTATGTAAGTACTGTGTGAGCGTGAGAGAGAAGTATTGATAAACCTAGATTTGGAAATTCAGAAGATGTGTCACTTACCTCCTACAAGAGTCTGGAAATACATCTTTCCACTATATGGCCCATAACCCACTGCTGTCCGGGCACGTACTTGAAAAGCATATATCTTCCCTGGGCTTAGACTGGAGATGGTGGCCATATTAGTCTCGCTGGTTAAGGTGAATGAAGTGTCCTCATCTTCTGACTAAGAATCAATACAGGTTGATCAACTTCTTCAACCTTAGCAATGCTCTATTCTCAGATGAATCCACATTTTTGTTATTTAGTCAAGTTTCTTTCTGCCCAGACTCCTGAACTAATCATTCAAATTACCTACTTCTGCCTTTATTCTTGAGGATGGCTAGCTAAAGGAACAATAAAAATGTTTTGCATAAGGGAAAGAGGAAAAAACGTTCCAAGGATGGCTTGCCTGACTGTGGCAATGTTAAATTGTTTCACAACACATGGCTTCCAATAAACTCTAAGGCTCTTTCTTGTTATAACTATTTTCCACCCCATCCTGGTAACATGAAAACCCTGAAATGGAAATGTGGTGAGTAATAATAACAACGCAGCTCTTTTCCATCACACTAGTGGCCCATTCAGGAAATGAAATTTTTTGGTCTAGAAGCTGCAGAATTTTATCCTTCCCATGTGGGTCCTTTCTGCTTTGTTTATTTCTGGAATGATACAAGATGAGATCCTGTGGTAGTGGCAGCTTCCCAACTGTTTTAGTAATATAAAAGGGTAGCACGTTCACCTCCTAAACAGGAGAAGAAAAATTAGGGGAAGTCTATTACAGAACCTTAAATTGATTTTAAAGTCTCATGTCTATTCCAAAAGAACCTGACAACTATAGATTTCTATCACTGCTGATTACTTAGTAGATGAGATACAACTTTTCTGAGCCAGTCCTAGTTTCTTGATAAGGCACCACAACAGTTGTACTTATTAAAATTTACTGTGTAAACTTGCTGTAGATGGCAAAAACAGAACTGAAACCAAATCTAAAATGCTAATTTTTAACTCTGGTCTTTTTTCACCAGTTTACCTTGTCAAAATAGCGCAGCTGATAGTCCAAGATGATTCCATTTGGCTGATCAGGCTGTGGCCAGGACAAAGTGATACTGCTTGGGGTGCGACTCACCTGATGCATCATAGGGACAGCAGAAGGGACTGCAGTAAAAAAGAAGAAAAAATTGGAAATGCTTTGCAGTTAGGGGTACTATGAAGAATTCCAGCTTGCCAAAGCTATTGTCACCTTGCCAAAGCTATTGCTACAAGGTAGGGTGAACTGCATTTCTAAGGTCTGGATCCTGCCTGGAAGACTTTAGTGGAACTCAAGATTGCACTTGGTGTGCCAGAGGGCAAGGCTGGCTGTGCCTGCTTCTTCATTGTGAACAATGACAGGCAAGGCAAAGAAGCAAAGAACATAATTATTTGACAAAGCACAAATATCCCTGCCCTCTTTGATTTAAAGCCTTCAGAGAATTTGTGCCTTCTTTCTGAAACCTCAAGTTGGCAGTCCTACTTCGAAATGCCTAACACGTAAGACTGTAAGTGCATTTGCTTGGGTACAAACCTGTAGACAACTTTAACATTAGTAAACTCTGCAAAAAGTGTGCAACTAATCCATGGGGTGTATGCCATGCTGAAAGAGCTCTGATACAACTTTAATCAATAGATTCTAATCAGTAGGCCAAAGCGATTCAAATTGAAGGGGGCCTTGACAGTCATGGTCTACTGTTACATGTGGCAACTAAAGGCATTTGAGAGATGGACCTCTCCTGTTAACCTCCATGAGGAAGATCTATTGAATTGACTGTGGTTGTCATATTGCAGTTTTAATATGTACGTACTTAAGTCAATAGTGTAACTCTTTCTGGATGCTCCTAAAATATCCCAGATTGTTTTAAGAAGCTGGGCTGACCCTTTACAGAATTGCTACTCATACATTTCAGGAAGCCTGGAAATATTGCGGGACTGTGGGAACTTCCACACATGAGGCTTAGAGTGCTTTTCACAGGCTATTTATGTGAATGTCAGATCCTTCTCAAAGTGGAATATTTAAACCAGAAAGCAAGCCATTTGTAATTCAAATGCACACTTTGGCCAATGGAAGGTTTACATTCACATTAAAACCAATTCATGAAGGGGAAAAAATCCCTCTAAGCCCCTTGCATGAATATATCTATTGTTAATTTGAAGAGGCTTTGAAGGATTTAGCTGTCTTGTATCTGTTCTTTCTTGTTCGTCCTTTACTGTATATTTTTAATATTTGGGTTTTATTTTTATTTACTTTACAATATTTTACGCCACCCAATTATAAAAAATACAGGTGATGAGAGGTGGAAGAGCATATCTGCCAGGCAAAATTCCTGAGCTTAAGAATCCCAGGTGCAAACTGTGTTCTCGGTTTATAATTTATTGTTTCATTAAATGCAACCTCTTAATATGGCATGTATTGCAAGCAATATTAAATTATCTATCACCTTTATATCCTACCCTTTCTCCAAGGAGCTCAGCTTGATGTAAGTCTGTCTCCTCCGCCCTCCCCACCATTTATTCAAAATACTGTTCAGACCTTTAAGAGTCTTCCAAGAAAATTCTCAGTCACCAATCTTTTATCCATCTTACTCAGTGTGAAATATAACCTATGCAATTTAAAGTGGCTATCTTCCAGTCGTCCCATATGTTATTTCTTCCTGAGAATCTTCCACTTTTCCCTAATTTATATTTCTGTCTAACTGACTCTAGTTCTCCTTCTGATATTCATGGCTGTATTCCTCTGGGAGAGCTCATGTTAAATGTTCCTGGCAGTCGGACCAGGAAGAAAATCATGCCAGGTTTGTGGTGGTTTCAAAGAAACTAGAAGTTAATCTGAAGGCCCTGGTGGTGTGAGGGTTTAATTTTCAGATCAGGTGAATGTAAAAGGTGGGATTGTGCATTCTTCTCTGTAGAATCTATCCTATGCTGAAATAATGAATGGCATAGTACTGAAATGGCCATAGACATTCTTTTTCTCATTCCCTGAAAGTCGTAATCCCTGTCTAACCCAGCCATATTCTCTCTGCAATCAAAATACATTTTGTTCACTGGCTGAAAGGTCACTGAAAAGTAAGAACTTAGGTTTGTTTGTTATCTACCTCTTGTAAAATATTAGAAAAAGAGGATTTGTTTTCAGCAAAAAGATAGAGATATTTCTCGGCTTCTTTCTGAATAAAAAATAGTTCAATGATCACACACCCCTAGAACAGGGGAAAGCTAACAATATTGGACTATTGTTATCTTACAGAAAGCATAGTCTTGACATTCAAAGTATAGCTTTTTTTTTTAAAGAAAGGCCATCCCATGCATCATTTTTTTTTATTTTTCAAGAAATCCTTTTCCTAATGAATTATCTGAATAGATGTTTCTGAACATTTCACCTCAATCCTCATAAAAGAGCCTATATTTCATAATATACTCCTAATTAATTTGCCAACCAAGTTTATTGGAGATTTTGTTCTAAAAATCCATGAATGTAACATTCCTAAACAGCAAACTTCCCTGCTCCCCCCAGGTTATGTTAAATTCCAAGAAACAGAGGATTCCATGGAGCATGGCTTACCACCACTGAACTTACATTTACTTGGAAGAAGTAATATGAGAAGGCCAAATACAGAACCACTGCAGAAAAAGAAATTACAGCCTTCCAGTGTTTGGGGGGAAATCTTACATACAATTCTGTAGCCTGAAATCAATAAAGTTATTGCATGATTAAGATTAAAATTAGTTTAACTAGCAAACTTGGAACAATGTGAAACCTGTGAACACCTGGTCCAACTGGTCCAATTAAATCAGACAAGGCAGCAAAATCAACAAAGGTGTTTGTTTTTTCCTCAGTGCTAACAAACATAAAAGGAGTGAGTCTAAGTTTTTCATTTTTTTTTCAGATGAACAAGATGAATTTATTCAGAAGAAAGGAAATCAAAGAGACTTTAACCAGCTTATGCAAGCATGAACCAGTTTCAAATAATATAAATCAAGTTCTTAAAAAAACAAAAGAATGTTGAAATGTTTCATGTGCTTCTTGTTTTTTATTCTTCATCTTGACAAGAATGCTTTCATCAACTACTATTATTTTTATAAAATGTATGCCATTTTTCAAATGAATGAAGATATATATAAACATGTTCCTGATCCAAGGAGTTTATTATTTGTGATATACTGGATTAATTCATTTTAATATACACTGCTCAAAAAAATAAAGGGAACACAAAAATAAGATATCCTAGATCTGAATGAATGAAATATCCTTATTAAATACTTTGTTCATTACATAGTTGAATGTGCTGACAACAAAATCACACCAAAATTATCAATGGAAATCAAATTTAGCAACCCATGGAGGTCTGGATTTTGAGTTACACTCAAAATTAAAGTGGAAAAAAACACTACAGGCTGATCCAACTTTGATGTAATGTCCTGAAAAGTCAAAATGAGGCTCAGTAGTGTAGGTGGCCTCCACGTGCCTGTATGACCTCCCTACAATGCCTGGGCATGCTCCTGATGAGGTGGCGGATGGTCTACTGAGGGATCTCCTCCCACACCTGGACTAAACCATCCCCCAACTCCTGGACAGTCTGTGGTGCAACGTGGCATTGGTGGATGGAGCGAGACATGATGTCCCAGATATGCTCAATTGGATTCAGGTCTGGGGAACGGGAGGGTCAGTCCATAGCATCAATGCCTTTGTCTTGCAAGAACTGCTGACACACTCCAGCCACATGAGGTCTAGCATTGTCGTGCATTAGGAGGAACCCAGGGCCAACTGCACCAGCATAGGGTCTCACAAGGGGTCTGAGGATCTCATCTCGGTACTTAATGGCAGTCAGGCTACCTCTGGTGAGCACATGGAGGGCTGTGCGGTCCCCTAAAGAAATGCCACCCCACACCATTACTGACCCACTGCCAAACTGGTCATGCTGGAGGATGTTGCAGGCATCAGAACGTTCTCCACGGCGTCTCCAGACCATGTCACGTCTGTCACATGTGCACAGTGTGAACCTGCTTTCATCTGTGAAGAGCACAGGGCGCCAGTGGTGAATTTGCCAATCTTGGTGTTCTCTGGCAAATGCCAAATGTTCTGCACGGTGTTGGGCTGTAAGCACAACCCCCACCTGTGGACGTTGGGCCCTCATACCACCCTCATGGAGTCTGTTTCTGACCGTTTGAGCAGCCACATGCACATTTGTGGCCCGCTGGAGGTCATTTTGCAAGGTTCTGGCAGTGCTCCTCCTGTTCCTCCTTGCACAAAGGCGGAGGTGGTGGTCCTGATGCTGGGTTGTTGCCCTCCTACGGCCTCCTCCACGTCTCCTGATATACTGGCCTGTTTCCTGGTAGCACCTCCATGCTCTGGACACTATGCTGACAGACACAGCAAACCTTCTTGCTACAGCTCGCATTGATGTGCCATCCTGGATGAGCTGCACTACCTGAGCCACTTGTGTGGGTTGTAGACTCCGTCTCATGCTACCACTAGAGTGAAAGCACCACCAGCATTCAAAAGTGACCAAACCATCAGCCAGAAAGCATAGGAACTGAGAAGTGGTCTGTGGTCACCACTTGCAGAACCACTCCTTTTTGGGGGATGTCTTGCTAACTGCCTTTGCTTGTCTATTCCATCTGCACAACAGCATGTGAAATTGATTGTCAGTCAGTGTTGCTACCTAAGTGGGCAGTTTGATTTCACAGAAGTGTGATTGACTTGGAGTTACATTGTGTTGTTTAAGTGTTCCCTTTATTTTTTTGAGCAGTGTTCTTGGAGCTTGGTGTGAAAACGATCAAGATATTTTCTTTCCTGTCTGTATATTTTTCTGAATTTGTTCTTGTAAACAAATGAGCAGATATAAATACTTTGTTTTAAAACTGGTAATTACTTTGCAGTTCTGGTCTGTAAAGAAGTAGTTTATATAGCTTATATAATACAATATATGGTATAAGATGAAGGCTTACAGTGAAACAGATAGTGAAATAAATAAATGCAAACTATACTTAAATTTTAAAATGTTAGTAGGGTGGAATGGAGTAAGCCTACCTAAAATTTCCACTGATTATATATGGTGTCACATCTGTATGAATGTTTTGGTTGGATGCTTATGTGTAAAAGAAATTACAAAACTCTGTAGTCTAAT